GGTCCATTACAACACACACAGTCATTGGTCCATTACAACACACACAGTCATTGGTCCATTACAACACACACAGTCATTGGTCCATTACAACACACACAGTCATTGGTCCATTACAACACACACAGTCATTGGTCCATTACAACACACACAGTCATTGGTCCATTACAACACACACAGTCATTGGTCCATTACAACACACACAGTCATTGGTCCATTACAACACACACAGTCATTGGTCCATTGCAAAATACATTTACAAGCACACACAGTCATTGGTCCATTGCAAAATACACAGTCATTGGTCCATTACAACACACACAGTCATTGGTCCATTACAACACACACAGTCATTGGCATGTTACAGCACAGCACTGCAGTCATTGGTTCTTAACACCTGAAGATCATATTGTCAGTTTATAACATTCCTGTGTTCATAAAGTTTAATATTGTTATTTCATTGTCAAGGTCAGGCTGGTTCCCTGCTGCGTATACTCAAGAAATAGTTGCCGTACCAACAGGGTATGTTATTTTCTTATTTTGTTGTGAATTCAGTGTTAATTGCTTTCATTCATCCATTCTTTTGTTTTAGTGTTGCTGTGAYAAATGCATGCATTTGGATTAGTTGAGACTTGATTTATTTGGTTACTTGTCGTGATTAAATGTCCATGTTTTATCAGTGAAATGTGAAAACATCATTCAATGTGTACAGTTGACTTGCTTATGAATTATTGAAAGAACAGCTACAACTCCTCTTCATGACAAAAATGCTGTTAATTTAAACATGTAATTTTTTTATTCTCATTTTCCCCCGTCTTTATCATGTTTATAATCCATACAGTGAGTGGATATGTTGTATCTATAGGTCAAATGTTAGCCAGACTATGCCTGCTGCATCTAGTACACATTCAAGACCCCAGCTGGACCAGTCTAGTGGACATAAATCATTAAAGAGATATTCTAGTGCTGGACCAGCAACAATGAACATACCAACACCTGACTATGGAACACAGCAACAAGGTAGTAATTCATTTTCAGCATCGAGGGCTTATACTAAAACAAGTCTTACACTAACACAAGTCTTTACTAATACAAGTCTTATATTATACTAACACATCAAGTCTTATACTAATACAAGTCTTATACTAACACAAGTCTTTACTAATACAAGTCTTATACTAACACAACTCTACTTATACTAACACAAGTCTTATACTAATACAAGTCTTATACTAACACAAGTCTTATACTAACACAAGTCTTATACTAACACAAGTCTTATACTAACACAAGTCTTATACTAACACAAGTCTTATACTAACACAAGTCTTATATACTAGTACAAGTCTTATACTAACACAAGTCTTATTCTAACACAAGTCTTATACTAACACAAGTCTTATACTAACACAAGTCTTATA